CCCCCCCCTCCTTCCTGTATTCGCCCCTAAATGCCTGGGATCCTTGGGAAATCAGATCCTTGCACGAAACAAATATATAAACTGAAATAACAAAATAAGTTTTGCAGTGAATTTACTACAAAATATCAGCTTTCAGAAATTTTCTTTGTATTTGGGGCTTTGTAAATATATTCTTATCTTTGATGTACTTTGTGTACTGACCACTGAGAACTCTGTGGATATATTATTCCTGTACTCTGTGTACAAGCTACTGAGAACTCTGTGGATATATCACTCCTGTACTCTGTGTACTGACCACTGAGAACTCTGTGGATATATTACTCCTGTACTCTGTGTACTGACTACTGAATACTCTGGTGATATATTACTCCAGTACTCTTTGTGTACTGACTACTAAGTATACTCTGTTGATATATTACTCCTGTACTCTGTGTACTGACTACAGAGTACTCTGTTGGTATATTACTCCTGTACTCTGTGTACTGACTACTGAATACTCTGCTGGTATATTACTACTGTACTCTGTGTACTGACTACTGAGTAATATGTTGGTATATTACTCCAGTACTCTGTGTACTGACTACTGAGTAATATGTTGGTATAATACTCCTGTACTCTGTGTACTGACTACTGAGAACTCTGTGGATATATTACTCCTGTACTCTGTGTACTGACTACAGAGTAATCTGTTGTTATATTACTCCAGTACTCTGTGTACTGACTACTGAATACTCTGGTGATATATTACTCCTGTACTCTGTGTACTGACTAAAGAGTAATCTGTTGTTATATTACTCCTGTACTCTGTGTACTGACTACAGAGCAATCTGTTGTTATATTACTCCAGTACTCTGTGTACTAACTACAGAGTAATCTGTTGTTATATTACTCCAGTACTCTGTGTACTGACTACAGAGTAATCTGTTGTTATATTACTCCAGTACTCTGTGTACTGACTACAGAGTAATCTGTTGTTATATTACTCCTGTACTCTGTGTACTGACTACAGAGTACTCTGTTGGTATATTACTCCAGTACTCTGTGTACTGACTACTGAATACTCTGTTGGTATAATACTCCTGTACTCTGTGTACTGACTACTGAGTAATATGTTGGTATAATACTCCTGTACTCTGTGTACTGACTACAGAGTACTCTGTGTACTGACTACTGAGTAATATGTTGGTATATTACTCCAGTACTCTGTGTACTGACTACTGAATACTCTGTTGGTATATTACTCCTGTACTCTGTGTACTGACTACAGAGTACTCTGTTGGTATATTACTCCAGTACTCTGTGTACTGACTACTGAATACTCTGTTGGTATATTACTCCAGTTCTCTGTGTACTGACTACTAAGTATAATCTGTTAGTATATTACTCCTGTACTCTGTGCACTGACTACAGAGTACTCTGTTGATTACTCCAGTTCTCTGTGTACTGACTACTGAGTATACTCTGTTGGTATATTACTCCTTTACTCTATGTACTGACTACATAGTACTCTGTTGGTATATTACTCCTGTACTGACTACTTGGTATATTACCCCCATGTAATCTATGTACTGAGTGGTCTGTCGATATTTATAACCTATAATTAATATATACAGGGTGTCCCAGGAATGTCAATATTAGAAAGAAGACGTTATGGCATTTCCAAAATTTGGTGTGCATTTTATAGCTTTCTAAATTACCTCAGACTTAATAACGTTGTTAAGATTCCAATTTATTTTAAAATACTTGTTTCTAGGATTCTTCTTGTAAAAGTTGTTTGAGGAAGGAATATCGCAAAATATTTTAAAGATGAAAGTGGAGCTGTCAGCTGTCCCTCAACTTTTATGTTTTGTGGGACACCCTGTATAAAGTTGTAATCTTTGTTTGTTTGTTTTTCCGATCATAACTCAGAAACCCCTGGACCGATTCGCCTGAAATTTTGATTGGAGAACTCCGGGAATGTTCTTACTTTGGTTTAGAGATTCTAAATTGAGTGGATTGACTTTTAGCCAGGAATAACTAATATATGTATTTAGAAGACTTCAAAGGCTTGGATTATCATATTACCGAGGTCTTCAGCCAGTATTATGTCAAGACTTCAGAACTAATGTAGAGGTACAGTGGGACCCAGAAAACTATGGAATAGGAAGACGACTATAGGAGTTCGATTTATTTTATATGTCGTCTTACTATTCCACAGTTTTATGGGTCCTATTGAGACAATTTGTAATTTAATAGATGGAAATCAAAATTCTTTATTTGATAATTTTCAACTCATCTGCTTCCAGGTATTAGATACAAAATACCGGCACGGTGGGATGACTGGGTGGTGCAGGACCATTCAGAATACTTCTTGCACAGGAACCAATCAATCAATCAAAGAAAATCAATCAATAAATCAATCAATCACTCAATTATTCAATCATTTCATCAATAATTCAATAAAGTCGAAAGAACTCAAATCCTCTCCGATTCCAAACTGTACAAATCAAATCCTCTCCGATTCCCAACTGTACAAATCAAATCCTCTCCGATTCCCAACTGTACCAATCAAATCCTCACAGATTCCCAACTGTACCATTCAAATTATTTCTTTTCTTAAGTAACGATGAGAAAGATATCGTCATTTTCAATCATGAATACTGACAATTTCCTTAATCACCTCTGCGGCACAAATCCGCAAGTCAATTTTAAAGATAAACTTTAATGAAAATAATCAGGTTTTAAGGGAACTGTTGTGAATCAGACATGCCACTCCACAAATGGACGGTTACTTGAAATTACGGCTAGAATACCTTTAAGTAATGATTCAATTATCTGATGTGAACACTGATTCTTGTATAAAATAATTTTTACAGTTTATTAATAGATTGATTTTTGGTTAGCACGGACGGAAAAAACAAAGACATGTGAGGCGCAAAAACTGGACCTTGCAACTCACTCCTCGTTTTCAGGAACCTTCAACCCAAACCTAGCTATCAGCTGTAGGACTAAATTTAATCATAGCTGATTAACTTCAGATCATTTATCAGTTGCAGGACTAGGTGTCATCACACCTATCAGCTATAAGACTATATTAAATCAGCGCTGATTATAAACTCCATCTCATTTATTACTGGAGAACTTAATTTAATCATAGTTATTTAACTCCGTCTAGGAATAGGTTCCATCATAACTGATTAATTTCAACTCATTTATCAGCTATAGGACTAGATTTAATCATAGCTGATTATCTAATTATCAGCTGTAGGACTAGATTTAATCATGGCTGATTTTCTCATTTATCAGCTGTATGACTAGATTTAATCAAAGCTGATTAACTTCATCTCATTTATCAGCTGTTGAACTAGATTTGATCATAACTGATTAACTTCAACTCATTTATCATGTATGACCAGATTTAATCATAGCTGATTATCTCAATATCAGCTGTAGGACTAGATTTTTGATCAAAGCTGATTATCTCATTTATCAGCTGTAGGACTATATTTAATCATAGCTGATTAACTTATCTCATTTATCAGTTTTAGGAATAGATTTAATCAAAGCTGATTAACTTATCTCATTTATCAGCTGTAGGGCTAGATTTAATCAAAGCTTATTATCTCATTTATCAGCTGTAGGACTAGATTTAATCAAAGCTGATTATCTCATTTATCAGCTGTAGGCCTAGATTTAATCAAAGCTTATTATCTCATTTATCAGCTGTAGGACTAGATTTAATCATAGCTGATTAACTTATCTCATTTATCAGTTTTAGGAATAGATTTAATCATAGCTGATTAACTTATCTCATTTATCAGCTGTGGGGCTAGATTTAATCATAGCTGATTAACATATCTCATTTATCAGCTGTAGGCCTAGATTTAATCAAAGCTTATTATCTCATTTATCAGCTGTAGGGCTAGATTTAATCAAAGCTGATTATCTCAGTTATCAGCTGTTGGACTTGATTTAATCATAGCTGATTAACTTCATCTCATTTATCAGCTGTAGGCCTAGATTTAATCAAAGCTTATTATCTCATTTATCAGCTGTAGGACTAGCTTTAATCAAAGCTGATTATCTCATTTATCAGCTGTTGAACTAGATTTAATCATAACTGATTAACTTCATCTCATTTATCAGCTGTAGGACTAGATTTAATCATAGCTGATTAACTTCATTTCATTTATCAGCTGTAGGACTAGATTTAATCATAGCTGATTAACTTCAGTTCATCTTCTTTGCCATATCATTAAATAACCCATTAAAAGATTAATTTAGACTAAACAGTCTAAATTTTCTGATTGAAAAACATGAATATCTTCATCATTTTTGATAAACTAAAATAGATTTACATATTATGTCCTGAATATAGTATGTTATCAAAATGCCCAAAATAAATGTAGATGGTTAGTCAAAATGAAACGTACAAATTTGTATCCATCAAGTTGTTAGATTGAACTCATAACATTTTTGTTGAGTTCAGACTTAAATGTTTAAAAATTTACTGGATTTAGTTGTGAAAAATTTGATATTTTATTGCTCAACAGGTAGAAATTAAAATATGTTTCAAGAAGCAGTGACAATAATATCAAAAGTCAGAAATTTTTTCCTCTTTTCAGTTCAACTTGATAGTTCTGTAAATATTATATGATTATATCATTGCTCAAAAATAAAGAGACATCTGAAGAATTTACAAAATGTCATATTCTTAACTTTCTGATAATGGAATATTGCATATATTTAGTTTTTTAATAAAATGATTATATGAAACTCTTCTTAAAAACATGTTCCAGCATATTCATGGCTATTTATTTATTTTTGCAATTACTGAGATTTACGTATAAAAATAATAATTATCACGACGACATTATATAAACTCTTTCGATAACTCAAAATCTCTGTGGTAAACTTTACTAAATTTATATTCTGCAAAATGTTTTTAAATTTGATTATTGTCAACATAATATATGCAAAAATTGAACCAAAAATCGAACGTGTAATACGGACTATTTTTGGATAATTTTTCAATTTTATTTTTGTTTGAATAAAAATATTGCAAAGTTTGTGATAAAAGCAAAGTTTAAACCTTGGAAGTTAAAAAAAAACGATTAACTAACTGCAACTGACAAGGAAGTTTTTAAGGGTTTACAGAAATATTAATCAAAAATTTATTTGGATTGATATTTTTAAATTTTTTGTGAACATTAACTTTTTAATAAAAATAGTTCTAAATGTAACTGTAAATGTGATGAAACTTCAACTGTAATGTAAATGTAAAAATGATTGTATCTATAACTGTAAATGTAAATGTAAATGTAACTAAAAAAGTAAATGTTCATGTGAACGTAAATGTAAATGTGAATGTAATTTAAAATAAAAACGAAATTTCTATGGAACGGTTAAAAGATCGTTTTTGTTTTCGATGGCTAACTGATGACCAAAAAAGCCTTACAAAAAATGCAATCTGTATTGGGACTCGCTGTGCTGTGAAACCATTAGATAGAATTAAAATCCTACAATGAAAAACCAATAGACTGTGAAATATGAAGACGACTTTTTACCCTTAAACGTATTTGGTGATGTTTTAAAACAAATAGTTTTACTTAACACTTATTAAATTACCAATTCAGTGAAATGGGTCTGTTTACACTGAAAAATTGCTGTTTCCCATGAACATTGGACTACTTCAAGTCAAAACCTCAGTCTAAAAGTCGTCTTCCTATATCCGTTCAATGGTTATCACTATAATATCATTTTTAAGTAAAAATATAACCGAGAGTTTCATCTAAATTATAACATTGATTTGGAATAAAAATAAAGTTTTTTTTGATGGAAGGGAAATATAACGCAAAACTGTAACCACTGAGCTATAACCAACCAATATATATGACAAAAATAAAACCAAATTTTGAACAAAGATAAAACAACTAAAAATATAATCAACCATAAACCAATCAAAAGTGTGATCATTTTTTTTACCAAAAAACTAACCATCTTTTATACAAAATGTAACCAAATATGAGTATATATTTATTTTTCGTGTAAAGAAGATACTTCGAAAAATACTTCAACTCAGAATTGCTTCTGGAACATTTGGCAGCACAAGCCATTCTCCCTCTGTATACATTTACTTTAAGAATTTACTTCCGAGTTTCATTTAGATTTACAAAAATTGATTTGGAACATATATATAACTTTCAACTTTCAAACTTAGAGATGATAACCCAAGCTTTGAACATTCCCATGGGTGTACGGAGTTCCCCAATCAAGATAAGAGGCAAATCGGTCCAGGGGTTCCAGAGTTATGATCGCTCAAACAAACAGATGGACAAATAGGTATTACTACAGGATATTAGATAATTTATTGATAAAATCGGAAATAAAATACAAAACGACAAATATTGTAGCTGAGATAATATAAATAAAATACATGAATAATTTAAATAAATACATTTGCTTGGCTGGTCATCACAAAAAAAACATTCTTTAAGAAAAATATTCTAAATTATTTAATTTTCTTTTTTTATTTTAACTTTTTCTTCTTTACTCTCTTTGTCTTTTTCAAGCTTTATTCTCTTCCCTGGGCCACCTGGCGCCTGCTCATGTTTCCTCTTCATGTGTTCTGATAGAACGCACCGGCGAGTTCCAGAGAATTCACACTCATCACAATGCACCCGCTTACGTTGTACATTATGAAGAATGCTCTTCCTGTGCTTATCTTGTTTGTGCATGTTTAAAGCGGATAGTTCGGCACCTTTATAATTACATTCATCACAAGGATACCTCAACCCTGCATTCGTGATCGTTTTACCATGTTTAATTTGCTTGTGCATGTTTAGATCTACTTCTTCAACACCTTTATATCCACACTGATCACATGAATACTTTTTAACGTGTTTACTCTGTTTGTGATTGTTTAAATCTGATAATTTAGCACCTTCATAATTACACTTACCACAAGAATACTTGTTATTGTGTTTATCTTTTTTGTGTTGGTTTAAGTCGAATAGTTCATCACCTTTATAGTTACATTGATCACAAGAATACTTGGTATCGTGTTTATCTTGTGTGTGCTGATGTAAATCTGATATTGTAACGCCCACATAGTCGCATTGGTTACAAGAATTTAATAACAATGCAATGTAATGCAATGCAGATGAAGTCTTTTCTCCATGCTTACTCTGTGTGTGATTGTTTAAATCTAACAATGCTGCGCATTCATAATCACATTGATTACAAGAATACGTTTTAATGTGTTTACTCTGTTTGTGGCTGTTTAGATCTACTTCTTTAGCACCTTTATAATTACACTGATCACAAGAATATATAAAAACTTTGTTCTTTTTCGCTTTTCCATGATGCCTTCGCTTGTGTTGTTTTAAATCTAATTTTTTAGCACCTTCATATCCACACTGATCACAAGAATACTTTTTAACGTGTTTACTCTGTTTGTGATTGTTTAAATCGGACAATTCAGCACCTTCATAATTACATTCATCACAAGGATACCTCAAACCTCCATTCGTATTTATTTTTACATGTTTACTTTGCGTGTGTCTTTTTAGATCTACTTCTTTAACGCCTTTGTATTTACACTGATCACAAGAATACTTTTTACCGTGTTCACTCTTTTTGTGCTGATTTAAACTATCAGCTTCCGCCCCAGAATATTCACATTGATCACACGAGTATTTTCCCCTTGCAAGATTCCTTGGCACTGTTTTCTCACGTTCTGTATATAAAAAAAAAATATTTTTTGTAATGCATAAATATCAAAGTTTTAAGGGATTTAAAATAAGAAGGAGGAAAATGAGCAAGAAAATATAAAGATTTAGTTCACTTTCCTTTATAAATTTGACAAATTTGCACAAAAATAAATTTCGTATTTGAATAAAGAAGAATCATTTAACAAGGTATACACCATACAATTCCATATTTTTACCTTTAACTCCATCTTCAGGTTCCTCTTTGACAACAATCTCTTCTTCTTGTTCATTGTTCTCAGAGATCTTCTTATTCTTCTTCTCTGCAGGATTCTCCAGGTCTTCATAATTCTCCAGATTCATGTTTTCATCCTCATCACAGCAATCTTCCACTGTAACATTGAGTGTATCAAAGATTTTGTATTTTACAATCAATGAATCAAAAAAACCTTAAGGGACTCTCGCTGTAATTTTAAGTCATCTTCCATTCAAAGGGGAATATGCCTGATTCGCCCTGGTACCCTTGAAACCTTAATCTGATCAATATTATGGAAGCTTAAGCTTTAAAAGTGTTTAATTCTGATAAATTTCTCTGTTGTTACGGAAGCAAGATAAGTCCATTCCCTTTTAAAGCGACACCACAATGAAAAGTAATTGGTTTTCAAAAACAAAAACATGAATATTTAATTAACGTTATCAGGAAAAGCATTTTGTAAAGTTTGTTTTAAAAAACGACGAATGAAAAGAAATAAATAAACCTTGAATGATATTTGGAGAATTTTCAGTTTCCTCTTTGAGGCAGGATACTCCCAGTGTATACATTGAGCTAATGGAGTCAATATGTTGCTGGGCAGCAAGAAGTACTTCATTAAGCCCCTTCCACTCCTCTTCTTCCTTCTCCCCCTCCCCTTCCATCTCTTCCTCTCCTTCCCTCTGCTTCTCTTTTTTCTCCTCTTCTTCTGTCTTCTCCCTTTTCCCTTTCTTGACATTGATTTCTTGGTTAAGGAGATGGATGTTATCTTTCATTCCATTCTTCAGGTTCAGAATACCAACCAGCATATGCTTTAAAGGAACAGTTGACGTAATTTCAGGGGATCCTTCATTTAACCTCATTCACAAACGTACACTTTATACCTATGTCTGATCAAGAGGAATGAGATTTTCTTTTAAAATGGATATTATGGTTTCTCCTTGATAGTTTCTTATGAATTTAAACCGTAGAAATAATTCAGGAAATAGTTAGAAAGTAGCTCTGTTAAAAATTGAAAAACGAGATATCTTTCTCATTGTTACTCAGATTGGTATAGTTGTGAATCGGAAATTCCACTAATAAAACTGAAGGCTCACTTTAAATTACGTCACAGTCCCTTTAAAATTCGTTTATCCTCAGTCCCCACTTCAACTCTCTAGTTCAATATTAGATTGTTATAATAAACAAATAACCTTTGACAAAGAAACTGATAATTCACCTCAAACTCTAATGCTCTATTCTAATCCTTACATCGTTGCAACCTGAAGTTGTATCGTGTATGTAGTAAAAAGGGAAGAAAGATGATATTCTGTGAAATTGCAGTACGTTGTACATTGCACATTGCTAATGATTAACTGTTGTAAACTTGTATAATGACATTATTCAATGAAACTGCGTTTCAATGGAATATTTAATATGATTAGATTGAATCATGCGGCCTAATTAAATATGCAAAAAAAAACATGTACGTAGTTATACTGCGTGATATACATTTTCTCTAATCTTGTAAAATACGTAATACGATGGTATCTAACAAGTGATATAGATAACATCGTAGGAATTGAATTAAGTCAATTCCTGTTAACTTTGTAACCTAAGCAATTGAATAAAGTTAGTTGTATGAGACTCCGCTTTGATTACTGCGAGAAAGTAATTATGTTCTCGTTGAAACATACGAGTCTAGATTTTGCCTAGTTGATTGGCAATTGAATCGAATATAGCTTGAAAGGATAGCTTGTGATCTTGTTGAACTATACGAGTGAAGATCTTGCCAGGATAATTGGCAATCTGATCAAATAAAGATAGCTTGGGTCCTAGTTGAATTATACGAGTTGAAATTTAGACTGTGTGTCCTTAAGAACCAGGGAGTTAAGCCTGGTTGAGAAATTGCCTGTGTAGCAATTTCAATACCCTGTGTGTATTTTATAACTAAGGAGTTAAGCCTGGTTGAGATTTGGGACTGTTTGTCCTTTGGAACCGAAGAGTCAGGCCTGGATTAGATATTGCCTTTGTGGCATTCAGAAACGAAGAGTTAGTCCTGGTTGATCTTGGCAACGAGTAGACCTGGTTAGATACGTCTCGAGTAAACCTGTTATGGGGTAGGTATTTGCTACATGTTTATCGAGATCAATGCGTGATTTCCTCTTTTGTTACTCTGTGGATTAATTTAATCTTGATTTGATATCCAAGAAAGTGCCTAAAATTCAAACAATCAGAGTGTCGTTTTCAGAAACAGCCAATTAGAAGCCGGTAAATTTTGCGCACAACCAATGAGAGATGATATAACTCTCATTGGTCGGAACCCAACCAAAAAGAGAGGATTAAGCAGAAAAGTGGCCACAGTGGATAACGAGATTAAGCGAACGGAATAAAGGGTATTCAATAAAAAAGCCTCCAGCTCAGGTTGCAAAATATAGAAATGAGAAAATTAGAGTTTGATGGAAGTAATTATTTCCATTTTTAAACAAAAACTGATTTTTCTTTGAAGGAAAATTATCTTGTAGCATTTAATAGTCTACTAGGTATATGAATACTATGTACACAACATTTTTAATAGGACCATGCAAACTTGTACAGTGTACACTGTACATATATTGCACAGCATGTTATGATAGATAAATCTTGTTCGGCACTGTAAAAGACATATTAGAATAGAAGCAGCTAGTGTTGTACAATATTGTGTGAACTATATTAAAACAGATATGTTTAGTACTGTGAAAATTTGGAATAAAATCAGCATGTGTTGTACAATACTGTGTGAACTATATTAAAACAGATTTGTTTAGTACTGTGAAAATTTGGAATAGAGCTGTACAAAAGATGTATGTTAAGAGAGATTAATTTTGTACAATATTGTGTATAAGAATTAATAAATAATAAACCATATTACAAGCAGGTTGGAAAACGTACACGATATTGTACAGTTCTGTTCACAATCTAGGTATTCCTGAAGCTCTGTGTACAAGTTTATCCTCTGATGTTCAAGATGAGCACCTGCAGCCATAGCTGACATTTTATCTGAAAAAAAAACTAAATTTAAACAAATAATCAAAAAACAAAACAGTTTTCAACAAATTTATTTTTGTAATTACTAATATTTTTCTTGCAAACTACAGAGTTACACAGCATAATGAGACTTGGATAAGGTCTTGAAACTGTTATGAAAATAAACGTAAGTTGAATTTAAGTTGACACATGATATTGCAAAGAAAGACACTAGTTTTGAGCTTCAAGAAGTCATGCATGTAAAAAAGAAAGCTTAAGAGATTATATACAGTCGTTTTAAAAGTCTCATTCTTTGCGGGTAACCCTGTCTACATATAATATAGAAATAATGAAATATAACAACTATTTATGTAGAAAGAGGATCTTTTGCTAAAACTTCCTATTTGGTATTTTCTTTTTCGTCGTCTTCACTTTCAGGTTCAAATTTTACAAGATCATGTTCAAATTCAACAAAATCAGACTCGCATTTCACAAGAACGGTTTCAGGTTCATATTTCACAAGAACAGGTTCAGGTTCATATTTCACAAGAACAGGTTCAGGTTCATATTTCACAAGAACAGGTTCAGGTTCATATTTCACAAGATCAGGTTCGTATTTCACAAGAACGGTTTCAGGTTCATATTTCACAAGAACAGGCTTATGTTTAGAATGTCATCGTTTCCCATCAGGAACTTTAAACTGCCGTTTGAAAAGAAACAATGCATCTTAATCATAACTTGAAAAGTATAGGACATGATGTGATCTTGTCACGCAACTGACTAAATACCTTCATGAAAAAAAGTATATCCGATCAAAGAAATAAAATAAAATCTGAAAAAATATATCCGATAAAGAAATAAAATAAAAAGTATATATATTGGTGAAATACAGAGTGTGTAGGGTAGTTGTTGATAGGTTCTGGCTGTTCCTTTCAGGTTTACGCCACTTCAGACCACAGAGCTGAGTTTGGTTCTGTTTACAGGTTTACGCCACTTCAGACAACAGAGCTGAGTAGGGTTCTGTTTACATGTCCTAAAGATTTCAAATTAATAAAAAAGTCCAGACATTTTTCTAACTCTAAAAGGTTACATGCTAATTCCTAAATATTGTTTTCAAATTGATTAAAACAAGTGCCATTGGGAATTTGGCAAAGAAACTGGGTCAAAATCGCATCATTTTCAAAAAGTTAGCCTTTTAGGATATTATATCCATGCAACCTGGCGGTTTCAAATATTTTGAGATCACAAAAATTGTTGAATCTTTATGATATTTGATATACAGGTACCTTGGGCCATTCTAATAAGTTTTGAACGATGTAATTGATAATTTTTTACACCTTCTTGTGGTGTTTTAGGGCAAAATATGGAAAAAAGTGATCAATTAAGTGCCATTGTCGCTGCATCACCGAAGTCAACCTAGAAACCTGATATTTATTGTAAATGCATATATAACCATTATATAACCATTAGATGTAAAAAAAATAGTTCTTGATTTTTAACGTTCACAATTCCAGACCGTTCTTTTCAACCAGTTAATGTTCGATCCATGTTCTTCGATAATTCATAGATTGTTCCAATCGTTTTAAGAACGAGTTCTATGCGTTTGTTCTTTTTTTGGAATGATGGCATCGTTCTTAATAATTTCATTCGTTCCTGTGAAGGATTGATTGTTCACAAGAAGCGACAAATCTGTAAACCAACCGAAAACCAGACATTGACTAAGTCAGAACCAAATACAGACATGATGTTGGAAATGGCGCAAGTATTTAAATTGGCTTACCTCTCTTCCTCTGTTGCTAGCCTCCTTTACATCTCTTTTTCTGTTGCTAGCCTTGTCTAGCTTTCTTCGTCTGCCTGAACAGTCAATCAATCAGTCAATCAATCAGTCAATCAATCAGTCAATCAATCAATCAATCAGTTGATCAATAATTCAACAAATCAGTCAATCAATCAGTCAATCAATCAGCCAACCAATCAGTCAATTAATAAGTCAATCAATCAGTCAATCAATCAGTTAATCAATCATTCAATCAAGCAGTCAATCAAGCAGTCAATCAATCAGTCAATCAATCAGTCAATCAATCAGTCAATCAAGCAGTCAATCAAGCAGTCAATTAATCAGTCATCAATCAATCAATCAGTTGATCAATCATTCAACAAATCAGTAAATCAATCAGCCAATCAATCAGTCAATCAATCAGTCAATCAATCAGTCAATCAAGCAGTTAATCAAGCAGTCAATCAATAGGTCAATCAATCATTTGATCAATCAGTCAATCAATCAGTATATCAATCGGTCAATTAATCAGTAAATCAATCAGTCAATCAATCAGTTGATCAATCAATCAATTTTGAAATTCATCCATAAAACTATTAATTTTATATTTAGCTACCTCTGTTATGCTTAACCTTCTTCATCATGTACTTTGTACAGGAAGTAGGCAGTCGGTAATGTCTGTAAATGTTTCTTCGGGAAACAAAAGTGTGCTCACACAGAAGACATGTAAGATGTCCAAGGGTGCCAACATTCTTAATCAATTCCTGAACCAAGATTTCCCGACTGCCCCCTTTCTTCCTAGAAGAGTTGTCGTCGGTTGACTGAAGGTTTACTTTAAACTTCTTCAAGGGGCTGCTCAGGTACTGGAGCTCTTTTTCTTGCACAGAATCATCTTTAATTGTCTCATAAACAGCCTCTCGTCCTTTGTTGATAGCCTCTTCAGCCTCTCTTTCTCCATTCTCTGTCTTTTGTTCTCTCTTCAACTATAATATAGTTCATTTAACAGCCAATTACTAGGTTTCTACTTATCAATCAATTAAACAGCAAGTCAACCATCGGACTAAATTTGAAAACATAAAATCTAACAATCAATTACTGAATCAAAAAATCAATCAATCAACCATTTAGAAATTTTGATTACCTCCTTTGGTTTATTAGCGAGGAGATTCCGCCGAACTGCTAAGGCACGCCTGGGTGTCGGAGCAAAGGGCGACCAGGGTTTTGCTGTGTTTGGGATATAGAACATATTTCTGATAATATCTGGAATCTGTTCTAAGTAATCATAGCAGGTGCTGATACTTGAGTTCCAGTCTTGGAATGACACGGTGCACAGAGGACAATCTAATTGGTGATTTTCCAAGAGACAAAGCACATCTGCAGTGTCATTGACAAACTCTTTATTGGGGGATTGACACAAATCTAACTGACCATTTATCTTCAGTGCCTGGTGCACTTGAACAAAACTGCCAACAATGTAGTTTAGTTTGTTCTTCACAAGCTTTGTCTTCGATTCATCTCTCCCCTTTGGACACTATAAATAAAAAGTTTTTGATCAAACCATAAAAACTTCTATGCTGAGTTCTTGGTTATGTGGGTCCGCTAAAATGATCGTGTCATCTAAGGACTTTAAAAAAATGTCATCAAAATTTTAGAATAATTTCTGTCTAAAAGAAACAATGTTTCTCAATCATAACTTACTTGGTATATGACATGATATGCAAGGTTGTCGATCTTACCACGCAACTGAATGAATATTTCCATGGTTATCTGAAAAAAATATATCCGATAAAAAAATAGAATAAAAAGTATATATTGGTGAAATACAGAGTGTGTAGGGTAGTTGTTGATAGGTTCTGGCTGTTCCTTCAAGGTTTACGCCACTTACTACATCTTGGCTGAGCAGGGTTCTGTTTACAGATCCTAATGATAATTCTAAAAAATTGATTTCAAATTGGTTAAAACAAGTGCAATCAGGAATTTGGCAAAGAAACTGGGTCAAAATCACATCATTTTAAAAAAAGTTAGCCTTTTAGAATATAATATTTTTGCAACCTGGCGGTTTCAAAATTTTTGAAATTACAAAAATTGTTGAATCTTTATGGTATTTGATATATAGGACATTAAGCCATACTGATAAAATTCAACATTATAGATTGTTTTAATAAACAAATAAACGGATCACTCACGATATATGAGATGAGAAAATTATCCACTAAACCCCACTTTTTTTACGGTTCGTATACCGCAGATCGCTTCAGTACACACCGAAAGCTTAGTTTAGGGTGAATAAATGATTTTTAACAGAAGGAAAATCATCTTGCAGTTTTTTATAGTTTACTAAGTACATAGAAACGCTTAGTACTCTGGTCACTGTACAACTTTTTTTAATAGGAGAAGCTTGTACATTGTACAGAATATTGCACAGCGTGTTATGACAGATAAATTTTGTACCGCACTGTAAAAGACATGATGGAATAAAATCAGCTAGTGTTGTACAATATTGTTACAGTTGGCTAAAAAAAAATTAATTTTGTACAGTATGGAATAATTTTGTCAACAGCATGTGTTGTACAATACTGTATAATAATGTAGTAAAAGGAGCTTGTACTATATACATGATACTGTACAGTACTGTTATGTAGAGAGAAGCTTGTACTAAATACATGATACTTTACAGTACTGTTATGTACAGAATAAAATAATAAAAGCAGCTTGGACAATGTACATGATATTGTACAGTACTGTAATGCACAAAATAAAATAGTAAAAGCAGCTTGGACAATGTACATGATATTTCGCGACTATGCTAATCGCCCTTAGATTTGTAAAAAGGTAAACCAGGTCGTAGTCCTACGGACTTGACCGGAAGCTGCTCTGTCTGAACTCTTCTCCATAATAAATCTCAGGATAAGTCTTCAGATTTTATTCGCAGTTCAATCTGAAAATACGCAGTATTTTCAGACCGAAATAGTTACTAAATACTACAGAAAAAAGCATTAAGTACAGGAAAGTTATCTAATTTTAACGTAAAACTCAAAATTCTGCTTATCCATAAAAAAAACTGTAGTGAAGACTAATTTTAAGAATAAATATGAGTAATAAGGAGCCCACGGGACTTCCTTAGCTTCTTGAATTGAATTGAATTGAATAAGTATAAAATCATACCACAATGATCCTCTGACACGTCTTGGTATATTTAATCACGTAGCAATTTTTTATAAATTGTCCAAATACTAGGAATAAACGATTACACTGTTTATGTTTCAAATCGGTAAAGTACAGTCTGAAAACCGGTTACAATACAAAATTTAAAGAATACGAATCTTCTGAGCCCGTTCTCTCCATAAAAAGTGGTCGTGTAATTCACGTACTTTGGGGGACGATATGTTGACCGCTAAATTCATATCTGATAGATAGATATTTCTCCGTACATTTGACGACCAATATAGAAGACGTAAATTTGTCGACCAATGTAGTTTAAGGAAGGGACGGCCTCTGGAATATTCTTCAAACTCATCAGACACAGTACGTTCATGGATAAATAACTCCATTCAGGGCAGAGAATATTGGTCCTGCTTGCAAGCTTGCAAAACAACAGAATAACATATTAAAAACAGGTGGTTTTTCCTCTAATGTTCAAGATGAGCACCTGCAGCCATAGTTGAGATTTTTTCTGAAAACAAACTGAAGGGAATGGTGGAGATGGCATGTATGATATAGGGGGGGGGGGGGCCTTCATTTTTGGTTAAAATTTTCCTGGCTTTTAATTGATATTCATTATGCATAAGCCATAGTTAAAGCATTTTCTCTTTTAGAGGTCATTTAGGTCATTAAAGGTCGTAAGAGGTCATTAGAAGGTCAAACACTGGATTTGTTGCTGCTACTGTATTCCCTGGTTTCCTAGCTTTCGTTTGATATGCATATGTGGAGGTCATTAGAGGCCATTAAAATTCAATTTTATTTTATTTTAGGAATTTCGATCACTAATTAGGCGTGCAGCCAAAATTGGAATACTTGAACCAAAAATGAAGGCAGCCCCCCCCCCCTTCCCCCTACATCAAACATGCTATCTCCACCACCCCCTTTAAACAAATAATCGAAAACAAAACAGTTTATAACAAATTTATTTTTGTAATTATGAATATTTGTCTTGAAAACTACAGAAGTACACACAATAATGAGACTTGGATAAGGTCTTGAAACTATTATGGTAACAAATTTAAGTAGGCATGCAACAAGTTTTTAACTCCAAGAAGCCATGCATTTAAAAAAGAGGGCTGAAAAGATTCTAATAAATAAAAACTATTTAAGAATCTTCTTCATAAACTTCCTTTTTGGTGTCATTTTTTTCATCATCTTCACTTTCAGGTTCAAATTTTACAAGAGCAGGTTCACATTTCACAAGAACGGTTTCAGGTTCATATTTTACTAGATCAGGTTCACATTCAACAAGATCAGGTTCGCATTTCACAAGAACGGTTTCAGGTTCATATTTTACTAGATCAGGTTCACATTCAACAAGATCAGGTTCACATTTCACAAGAACGGTTTCAGGTTCAGATTTTACGAGAATAGGTTCATAGTTCTCAAGGTCGGGTTCCCATTTCACAAGAACGGTTTCAGGTTCATATTTTACGAGAATAGGTTCATAGTTCTCAAGGTCGGGTTCACATTTCACAAGAACAGGTTTAGGTTCAGAAAGTTTTCGTTTAACTTTAATCCGCCGTTCTTCGCCGTGTCTTCTATTCTTGTGTGACTTCAAGTGAGAACGTTGAGTTGCAGAATAGCTACACTGATCACATGGATACCTCACCCCTTCATGCTTGCTTGCTTTGTGTAACTTTAAACTTTTTAAAAGAGATGTTGAATATTCACACTGATTACATTTGTGTATAACTCCATCATGTTTTCTTTCTTTGTGTTGTTTTAAGTTTCCTGCTGTAGTTGAAATAAATTCACATTGATCACATGGATATGTGACGCCCAAATGTTTATTTTCTTTATGTCGCTTTAAGCCAATAACATGGTTTCCAATGTATGTACACTCATCACAGGAATATCTCACTCCTTCGTGTTTACTTTCTTTGTGCTGCTTTAAATGTGAGGATTTAGTCGCAATATATTCACAGTTATCACAAGGATATCTTCTCCCCGGTGTTGTATCTGGTTTCATGCTTCACCTGAAATCATCGATATAATAAAGCATTTCGCGCATTTACAAATAAAATATATTGTATAATATATATGTATATATATAATGTACATATATTTTTAAGAAAAGATGTTAACAAATAATTTGAATTTTTATTACATCAAGACATTGTTCTATACTAGGCAATCTTGAGGATATATATAGAAATATGTAGAAATAGGCTTTAAGAGCACTTCGCCCAACTTGTTTTTCAATTGTGAACATTTTCTTTTAGTATACATTGTAAAACAAGAACAAACTAAAAATTTCGCAGATTATATAAAAAAATTTCGTGGATTTTCATTAAAAAATCGAATTTTGTAAGAGGCAAATTTTTGTGAATTCGATCATCCATAAACCTTCCCAGGGGTGACAAAAGTTCCCACAAACAATTTGGGCCGTTTAGACGTTTATAAGATACAAACAAACAGACAGACAGAGAGACAAGCAAAGTATATATATAGATACTAGCCTTAGAGGGCGCTTCGTGCCCATCTTCTAAATTAATTGTGAACATGTTCTCTTTGTGTACATCGTAAAACAAAACAAAAATAATTCGCGGATTTTCACAAAAAATTTCGCGGATTTTCAAAATTTTTAAAAATTTAATGACGATTGAATTTTGATGGAGACAAATATTTGAAATTTTGATTTTTCATAAACCTTCCCTGGGGTCCCTAGATGTCCCACAAAAAATTTGGGCCCGATCGGTTCAGCCGTTTTGACGTTTATTGGATACAAACAGACAAACAGACAAACAGACAAACAAACAAACAGACAAACAGACAAGCCAAATTTATATATAGATCAACTTAGGAAACCCAGAGTTGACATAGGCTTAAACTTAAACTATTTTGGAAATTTTTCAAAATTCCACGGACAACGATGGGCACTCCAGCTAGTAAGTCATAAAACCTTATTTTGATATGGACTTTGTAATTAGATAGCTATCTTAGATCAATTGCAATCTCAGGGTCAACGTTAATATTTACTGGTACAACCTGTATGTATAATATATTGAATTGAAAACGATCAAAAGAAATGTTTGAAATCATAATTTCAATGATTTACCTTCGTCTGATTCCCTAGGAACGATTATCTGGAGATTTTGAACGATCACTAAACTTAAACTTCTTATTCATGAAATCTGAAATAAAATATTATAAAATGTTCACTGTATCAAAGATAATACTGATTACTACTTAATATATAATTTTATAATTTTTTTTGTTTACATATGACACATGCATGTACAATTAAAATTACCATTTCGACAATTTTGATGAGGATTATAATATAAAATTTGAAAGGCTCTCTTAAGTTTTAACTTTAGCTCATTGTTGTCAATTTTTATAAATAATTCGCGGTATTTAATGTTATTTTCAGATCTCAATTTTTTATTAAAGCACTTTATATTGGGGTTTTAAAAAAACCATGAAACCCATTTTGGTTTTATGTGAGTGGCTTCATTTAAAAAAAAATTTGATCAAAAGATCATTTCATCAGTTCATTTAAAACCTCATGATGATAAAAGTTCATAATCCTCATTGAACTTTATTTTAATAATACTATATATCCCTTCCCAGGGACCCCGTAAAATAAAAAAAAATCAAGCTTTTTCTTCATCCCCCCCCCAAACTTACAAAATCATGAAACCGAATCAAAATCAAGCAAAACGATCTTTAAGAACTTCTTCTACTGTCATATCTTCATTTTCACTTTCAGGTTCATTTTTCACAATAACAGGTTCAGATTCAGGTTCACATTTCACAAGAACAGGTTCAGATTCAGGTTCACATTTCACAAGATTAAGTTCAGGTTCACATTTCACAAGAACAGGTTCAGATTCATAATTCACAAGAACAGGTTCCGGATCTGCTATCTGCTGAATATCACTATGCTTCTTCCTCATGTGTGCATTCAGATGAGAACGTTGAGTTGCAGTAAAGTCACACTCAGTACATGGATACCTGACTCCATCATGTTGGCTTGCTTTGTGTACTTTTAAATTATATAAAATGTTTGCTACATATTCACATTCATCACAAGGGTACCTAGCCCCATCATGTTGACTGGCTTTGTGTTGTTTTAAATGTGATGGTTTGGTAGCTGAGTAATGACATTCATCACATGGATATCTTTCTTTCTCGTGATTACTTAATTTGTGCAGTTTTAATTGTGCTGGTTTAGGTGCAGCATAATCACATTGATTACATGGATACCTTTCACTTTCATGTTGATTGAGTTTGTGCGCTTTTAGATATGATGGTTTGGTTGCAGCATAGTCACATTGATTACATGGGTACCTTACTCCTTCATGTTTACTAGCTTTGTGCATTTTTAAATGTGATGGAACGGTTGCAGCGTATTCACATTGATCACAGGGATACCTCATGCCTTCATGCTTACTTCGTTTGTGATGCTTTAAGTATGATGGTTTGGTGGCAGAATAATCACATTCATTACATGGATATCTCACCCCTTCATGTTTACTAGCCTTGTGTAGTTTCAAACTAGATAAATCTACTGTCAAGTATTCACATTGATCACAAGTATATCGAACTCCTTCGTGCTTGCTTCGTTTGTGATGCTTTAAATGCGATGGTTTTGTGGCAGAATAATCACATTCATTACAAGGATATTTCACCCCTTCATGTTTACTAGCTTTGTGTAGTTTCAAACTAGATAAATCTACTGTCAAGTATTCACATTTATCGCAAGTATATCGAACTCCTTCGTGCTTGCTTGCTGTGTGCCTCTTTAAAAGCGATAATCTCGTTCCCGCGTATTCACACTGACCACATTTGTATTTATTCTCCATGATTTAAGGAAGTAAAATTCTCCGGATTATCGTTCTGAAAATTAAAAAATTTTCTCGTTTTTTTTCTTAAAAAGCAACAAATCTTTACAATTTCCCCGGTTACGTAACTCTCAAAATGAGGTTCAATCGAAATTAGCCAAACAGAACTCTTAAAGGGACTGTCAGCGTAATTTCAAGTGACCCTCCACGGAGAGATGGCAATCCTCAATTCACAGCAGAATCCTCAATCATGGTATAAAAGTTTTCAATTCCGATAACTCCTATATCTTTTCCTGCAGTAGAAATGCACACTGTATAGACTGTAGAAAAATCACAATTGAAAATAAGCTGTTTAAAAATTACAAACATTGACATCTAAAGGGTTGACACGAAAAAATCTGTCTTTTTAGCTTTAGGTTTTTAAACCATTGATAACTGAACAAAATTAATCTTTAAATCGGCAATAAAGTTAGGAATAAAGTTAGTACATGTAACAGGTAAGAAATAAAAACATTCTTTGATAAATTATGATTTTTAATGTGCCCTCATTAGCCATTTATATTTCTGTACTTCATAATACCCTGCCTGCCAGCTAAAGGGATCTTATTAATAGAATAATTAAAGTATTCAAATTCTCAAATTATTTTTAGCAGAGAATAAAGTTAATAAATTCATGATTCTTCAAAATCCTTCAGGATATAGAATAGGGAAAAAATACTAATATAGAATAAGATTTTTTTCAAAATTAAATTTTTGATTAACTTTTTGTAATGAAAAAAAATATAGAATAAAAAAACTGGACAGGGGAACAGAAAAAGGCCAAAAACGCGATCAAAGGAACAGAAGAGATCTTTTAAAAAAGTTTCTTTAAGGGTACTATTTATCATCATTAAAACATTTCAAAATGTAAAAAAATAAACTAAAAAATATTTGAACTTTATAGACAGAGAGAGGAAGTTAAGATTGTTTTAAAGATCCCAAAACATGTTGAAAACAATGCAATAATTCACAAAATATGGTAATATGATCATAACTGATTTTTTACTAAAATCAAATTTTGCTTATCAAAAAATAATTTATTAAATGATTTGAGTGGGTCTATGGTTTTTTTTAAAGAATATATGATGAGTTCTGGTCAACATTTATGATGGACCGGGATGATCAATAGCTGAGATTACTTTTGTGATTCTGCAAATTATATGGATTTACTGTCAGCTGGGATATTAAGGAAATAGAGCTTTGACTGGCTCGCGAGTGCACATTTTTCATCAGAATGTTTCATTTTCATCCTTAGTCCATGAACTATTATTTTCAACCTTTTTTACAGATTCTTTAATTGCTTTTTGCAGGAGGCGTAAAAAGAAAAAAAGACAGTTTTTTTCGCGTTCAACCTCTAGTTAATACTTGATGAGACACAAGATTTCAATTCAAGGGTATCGTTAGAAAACGGTCGGTATCGTTAGAAAACGGTCATTGCCATCTTTGTATGGAGGGTCAGTTGAAAATGATAAAATAAATTAGCATGAATAAAATTGCAAATAGTTCCAACTTAATGGATGAGTTCTGTTGAGTGATCTCCTCCTCTATGAAACCATTACAATTAATACAGAGCGTCCCATATCATATTGGATTATCTCCAAAATACGAAAATACTCGAAAAACCTGGTATTTTCTGCAAGAACATTTTTTAATCAGCCTGAAACTTTTTTCTTAATGATTATTTTTTCTCTTTCTGATTAGTCCCTTTAATCTTTATTTAGAGCAATAAACGATCTTATATGATGTTGGACACCTTGTATAATAATAATAATAATCGCTGTCAAACCTTCAATCTAGGCTTGAGTGTATAAGTGATAATAACAGTGACCCGTTCACCTTTTGATTTAATTAACATCTTAAAAGTGAATCTTGAGCATAGAACAGTTCCTAGAGACCAAACATATTCGTGTAATCATAATCTCTGAAAATATAATAACAGTTTTTAGAAAAGTCTAACAAATGGACGACTCAGCTTTCTAAATATCCCTTGATGCTATGGAAACTGACCTAGAGGAAACCGACCTAATTATCGAATAGCTTTAAAAAAACATCCAGTATTTTTATCTCCCTGCGCGTTTCACGCTTTCAAATCGTCTCCCCTTTATAACTATACGTCCTACCAAACTTCCTACTCCACCTACTCAGCTTAACCTAACCTAACCTATGTTAAAATTTTATGGCATTATATAGGTCGGAAAATCCTTAGGATAGTTTTCCTCTAGATCGGGGAAAAAAGAACAAACTTATCTGACGCAATTGTATTAATTAGTGATGATAAACGCAGGGGTGTATACTGTTTTCTTGAACAAATAATTTTTCTTACCGCCCCTCCCCGCCACCTTTTAGAAAACAATTTTTCCCTCTAGAAATTCTTTATGTTTGCATGGAATGCAAATTTATTTTTTATGGATTTATTTGCTGAATTGGGGAAAAAAATATTTTAGTAGAAAATCAATGAACCTAAGAAATGAACACCCCTGCAAAATTGAAGAGTTAGGTAAGAATGCATAATTGAGGACTCACAATAGTGTTACATAAATACATATATTATTATTATAGATGAATCTATCAGTCAATCAAATCTATAAATACATAAACTAACATTTAAATTTTAAAAAAATTAATACTTCAACAATTGTACATTTTCCGGAAACACAATTATAATCAACAAATAGTGATTTTTAAAGATTTTGGAGAAAACCCTAATTTTGACAACTGGCAAGATTTACAGGGGCTTTTCATACATTTTAACAAAAATTCATTTGTTTTTTCTAATTTAACGAAAAAAATCAAAAAAAAGTAATATTTTACAGATATGGGGGGGGGGTGTAAGATTGATAAAGAACTACCCTTGTTTTCTGGACAAAATAAAGTTCCTAAATAAAATATTAACTGTGAATACATCTATAATCTTTAAAATATACTTTGCTTTTATCCTATAACCGTCCAAACGGCTAAACCGATAATGCCAGATTTCTTTCGTGACAACTTAAATGACACCAGAGCTGTGAACTTTTGAATGTTGGATTTCGGGATTAATGCAGACTCATTTCTTAATCTCGAGATGAAATTACGCTTGTTCTCCTCTTGTTACTAATCTCCAGATTAATAAAGCGGTCGGGATTTAGGATATCACATTCTAAAGTTTTCAGCTCAGGTAAGGTTAATGAATGATGTTTCCCGGAAAATAAAATTGTCATTGATAATTTTTGAAAATGCGCCACTTTTTTACAGAAAAATCCGCGAAAATTTTAAACAACGAAAAATAATGGTGAAGCGACAGAGAAGCATTGTTTTTTATAATTCTGCTGAAGGACTGTTAAGAACTTCTTCTTTGATTTTAAACTCTTCATCATCTTCACTAACAATATCAGCATCAGGTTCAGGTTCAGGTTCACATTTAACAAGATCGAGGTCTGGTTCATTTTTCACAATATCCGTTTCAAATTCAGGTTCAGGTTCACATTTCACAAGAACAGGTTCATATTTCACAAAGTCAGGTTTCACAACAATAGATTCAGGTTCATATTTTACTAAATCAGGTTCACATTGCACAATTTCAGGTTTACGGTTTTCAGTGAGTCTTTCGTGTTGACGTTTTTTGTGATGCTTTAGATGAGAAGATTGAGTTGCAAGATAATCGCACATGTCACATGGAAACCGTATTCCTTCATGTTTTCTTTTTTTGTGACTGTTGAGTGAAGATACAGAATTAGCAGTGTATTCGCACTTATCACAAGAATGTTTCACACCTTCATGCATACTTTTAATGTGTATCTTTAAACTGGATGAATGTCTTGATACGTATTCACATTTGTTACATGGATAACACAGTCCTTCGTGTTTACTTTCTTTATGTTTCTTCAAATATTGTGAATGAGTTGCAGAATAATCACATTTATCACAAGGATATCTTACACCTTCGTGTTTGCTTGCTTTGTGTATCTTCAAATGTGTTGATTGTGTTGTCGTAAAATCACAAATGTCACAAGAATACTTAATTCCCTCATGTTTGCTTTCTTTGTGCAGTTTTAAATGCGATGCTCTGGTTGCAGCGTAGTCACATTGGTCACAAGGATATCTCACTCCCTCGTGTTTACTTTGTCTATGCTGCCTTAAATTCGATGAGTTAGTTGCAATATATTCACAAAAATCACAGGGATATCTTCTCTCCATTGTGCTTCCGATCTAAATATAAATATACTTTGCTATTTTTAAAAAGTTTTTAAGTATTCTGAATCAGAATATGTTTTAAATCTAAGAGCGGAATACTTTTCTCCCAGGGACCCCCCCCCCCCACGCCCGTTGGTTTGAGGGGGGGGGGGGACTCACCTTTAGAATTATTACTCCAATTCTTTGAACAGTCAGAATATCTAAAATATTAAAATAAATATGTAAACAAATAATTTTAAAAGTGAATTTTTTAAGCTTGGACGGATGATTGAAAGATACAATGATTTGAATATGATTAAAATCCTTTATCCGCTTTTTCCCAACTTGACAATAATTGTGTTTGTACAGAAATTGACGGTTTTGTGCCTCTACAGAAAATTACAGTGGCCATAAAATTGGAGGAATAACCGATTTCAGTATCATGCTAAAGGATTTTCTTGAACTTTGATTTCTTTTTTCAATTTTGTTTTTTCAAAATACGATTTATTTTTTATTTTTATGAGCAACGTCGGGCACTGTAGATAATCACCCCTGCGTAACATACCTTCAAATATAAAGCTTAACTTTAACAGTAGTTTTAGAACTTAACCCAGAAATGTTGGAATCAATGAACATAATTCATTCTCTTCATATTATCTGAAATATACACGTGATTAACAGCAATTATTAACAAGGTTTGAAAATAATATCTTACATCAAATTCTCAAAATAATTCTCAAAAAAGTAATCATAACGCAGGGGAAAAAGTTTAAACCCGTGTTTATGTTAAAATCTGACACTCAGTGTCAGGTCTGGGCCAAATCACGGGTTGAAACTTTCTTCCTCTGTAACGGTTGCACAGGCATCTAAAGGTGTGGAACACTGCAATGAATATGATAAGGTTTTTTGACCCAATACAAGACCCAAATCTCAAAAATATTCACTTACAGTGTGTATCCAATAAACGTCAAAACGGTTGAACCGATCGGGCCCAAATTTTGTGGGGGACCTCACGTGGTCCCAGGGAAGGATTATGAATGACTAGCTGGATGGCCCGGCGTTGTCCGTGGAAGAAAAAAATTTAAAGAAAAAAAATTTGAAATTTTTTTTTTTAAATTTTTGTTTAGACTTTAAAACCCCCCGGCCACCCATGAGTGTCCAAAATAAAATTCAGCCCAATCGGTCCAGTCGTTTGGTCGGCTATACGCAACATATATATATACGAATGTCTTGTTTTATTATATAGATTAAAATTTAAAAAATTGGCCTCCAACAAAATTCTATTTTCATTAAATTTTTGAAAATTTTAAAAATCCACGAATTTTTAATGAAATCCGCGAATTGTTTTGTTTTTGTTTTGTTTTACAAAGTACACAATGAAAACATGTTCACAATTGAAAAAGAAAATGGGCACGAAGCGGCCTAAAAACCTAGTCTTATATACTTTCAATCATAACTCCATTTTTCAAAAAGTTTTTAAAAGGAACAACAATGTTTTGCATTTCTAATAAATAAATGGATATATTCTGTTTTCTCATACTTGATTGCAAAATGAAAGCTAAATAAAAGGATTAATGTCAAATTTTTACAGTCTGAACAAATTTGGAAAATAAATCAAAATTTGGGAAAGAGGGTTTTAAAAAAAATGGAAAAATGTTGAATATCATCCTTTTTTCAACCCCTCCCCCCTTAACAGCTTAAATATTAACGCTCCCCACCCCCTTTTTGTAAGAATTCTTGAAATTCTTTGAATTCTTTGGTTACAAAACTGATTTTCATTTCAAAAGTTTAAACATTGAACAACATTGTTCCAGGTAATCACAGTTATTTTCTTTTCCTCCGCTTATTAATTGGGCGGGTAGTCCCCCTTTGATATATCAAGTCGAACTTAAATTGGTTTGAATGTTCAGACATAAAAAATGTTCAGAAATTGTTTTGAACATGTAATTTCTTCAACTTAACAAAATTTCACTAAAAATGCAGAGAGGTAAATTAATCTTAAACTTTCAATTTTCGTACACAGATAATTCATAAACAGTGAAAACACTTTAAGGAAACTTAGAGTAAAAGTAGAAAATCAATTCCAAAAATAATGGTTTAATATTATTCAATTAATTAATTAATCAAAGAGAATTGCTAAGGATGTGCTGGTCCCTAGTCAATTTCACCCATCAGAGCTTTAACTTTTTACAAGGTGTGTTATTATTTCTTGATAAAATATACTGAATCATCAGGTTCATATTTTACAGGATCAGGTTCATATTTCACAGGATCAGGTTCATATTTCACAAGATCAGGTTCATATTCCACAAGATCAGGGTCATATTTCACAAGATCAGGTTCATATTTCACAAGATCAGGTTCATATTTCACAAGATCAGGTTCATATTTCACAAGATTAGGTTCATATTCCAGAGGTTTTGGTTCATATTCCACAAGATCAGGTTGATATTTCACAAGATCAGGTTGATATTTCACTCGGTCAGGTTCATATTTCACAAGATCAGGCTAAGGTTCACATTTTTAAAAGAGCAGGTTCAAGTTCATACTTCAGAAGAATAGGTTTAGGTTCATATTTCACAAGATCAAGTTCAGGTTCATATTTCACAAGATCAAGTTCAGGTTCATATTTCACAAGATCAAGTTCAGGTTCATATTTCACAAGATCAGGTTCAGGTTCATATTGCTAAAAATCATTAAGAGGATCTTCTTCAAGAACTTCTTTTTTTATATGAACTTCTCCATCATCATCAGTTCTAGGCTCACAGTTCACAAGAACAGTTTCAGGTTCACATTTCACAAGAACAGGTTCAGGTTCATAATCAGCAAGATCAGATTCAGGTTCATATTTTACCAGAACAGGTTCAGGATCATATTCAGGTTCAGATTTCACAAGAACAGGTTCAGGTCCAAATTTTACAAGATCAAGCTCAGGCTCACAAATCACACTAGTTACGGTATGTTGCTTAATTTTGTGATTCTTTAAATGAGAAACTTGAGTTGCAAGATAATCACACTTGTCACAAGGATATCTTACACCTTCATGAACCTTTTTCTTATGCCTATTAAGATTAGATGCACAATTAGCCTCATATTTACACTGATCACAAGGAAACATTAATCCTTCGTGCATACTATTGATGTGTATCTTTAGAGTCGATGAATGGCTTGCTACATATTCACATCTATCACATGGAAAACGCAATCCTTCGTGTCTGCTTTTTTTATGGTTCTTCAGATGCTTTAACTTGGCCGTAGAATAGTTACACTCATCACACGGATATCGCACACCTTCATGTACGCTAGATATGTGTACTCTTAAGTAGGATAGTTGAGTTGCGGCATAGTCACATTGATCACATGGAAACCTCACTCCATCGTGTATTCGAGCTTTGTGTTGTTTTAAATTCTTTGATTTGGTTGTAGAGAAGTCACATTGATCACATGAATAGCCCACTCCCTCATGCTGGATGGCTTTGTGTTGTCTTAAATTAGATAAATTAGTTGCTACATATTCACATGTATCACATGGAAATCTGCGCTCCATGGCTGTAGCCCACGCGGTTAAGGCCATTCTTCGGAATACTTCCAATCTAAAAGTAAAAGTTTGTTAGAAAGTGGAATTAAACATTTAAAACTGCTTTACAAAGAAGTTAAGGGAAATTGGTCGAGGGAACCTGTGGTTAAATAAAATTTAATTTCCCGAAAAAGTAGTTGTACACAATTGCGCGAACCTTTTCACGAAAACTCCGCAGAGTGGGTAAATATTTTACCTAATTGTCCCAAGGGACGATAAGTAAATTAACGTCCCTCTGATGGGGGGAATCATAGGACATGGTCTCTTAAAGGGACAAAAGTCGTAATTTTAACAGATCCTACATTTAGTAAGATTTAGTAAGTGGTTTATTTGATCTACAGCATTATCCTACCCTAATCCGATCAAATATGACATAGATCTGATCATAAAGTAAACCAATTAATGCTAGGAAAACTCAAGTGTACACTGGCAAGTGGTTTGGGCTGTAACCTCGAGTATCCCAGTAATCCATTTTCAGTTATAAAAATAGGGATATCATAAAAAATAAAATTGCACCTTTCATTGCTTATCCCAGCTACATACTCCCCAGCTCCTCCTGCGTCCTTATTAGCTTCTGCTGTGGCCTCTTTCACTCCTCCTGCGTCCTCTTCAATACCTACGTTGTCCTTTTTCACTCCAGCTGCGCCCTCTTCAACACCTACGTTGTCCTCTTCAACTTCTGCTACGTCCTCCTCAACATCTGTTGCTTCCATCTTAAAATGATTAATATCCCGCTAAAGGATCTTCTTCTTTAATGTCATCTTCTTCACTCTCAGGTTCATATTTTACTAGAAAAGAATCAGACGCAAGAACAGGTTCAGGTTCAAATTTCACAAGAACAGGTTCAGGTTCACATTTCACAAGAACAGGTTCATTCGCAAAATCAGGTTCAGGTTCATATTTCACAAGAACAGGTTCAGTCGCAAAATCAAGTTCAGGTTTAAATTTCACAAGAACAGGTTCAGTTGCAAAATCAGGTTCAGGTTTACAATTAACAAGATCAGGTTCAGGTTCAAATTTCACAAAAACAGATTCAGTCGCAAGATCAGGTTCAAATTTCACAAGAACAGGTTCAGTCGGAAAATCAGGTTCAGGTTCATAATTCACAAGAACAGATTCAGCCGCAAGATCATGTTCAGGATATCTGAATTTATTTGAATTATTCTCCTTAGGGCTTCGAGTACCATGTTTTTTTAATTTGTGCATTTTTAAATGGTAAATACGGCTTGAACTGTGTTCACATAGATCACAATGATATCGTATTCCTAAATGTTTATATTCCAAGTGTCTCTTCAAATCAGAGACTTGGCCTGCAAAATAGTCACAGTGGTTGCAAGGAAACTTTCCTGCTATGTATCTACTCGCTTTATGGTCACTCACTTTGTGACTCATTATATCCTCTTTTTCCCCAACTACGATCTGTTCTGCTCTTTCGTTCTTTGGGAAAATACTTGGAACAGAGCCAAGTTTAAGTCTCCTCCGGACAAAGGCAACGCCATGATCAGTATGAAATGATTCCTCGGTAAAATGATCCATGCACACATGAATTAACTTGGTGGATTTCCACCCCACAGGATTGGAGAGGAGCCATTTTTTGCGGATTTTTTCATTTTGAGGTAAAACGAACAACCCGGAGCTGCCTTGGCTTGATTTACAAAAGTTGACAGCGCAAGTTCTACCCATTTTAACATACAACAGTCTCAATCTGAAACATCAATAATTTTAGACAATTTTTTAAATTCAGCCCCCTGAAGCGATTATAATTATGGATTTAAAATGGGGGTAACGGTAACGACAGTAGCACCACACCCCCTTAAAGGGACTGTAAGCTTAATTTCAAGAGACCCTTAAATCAAAGATGGAACTGTTTGATTTACAACGGTACCCTTAAAAGCTTTTACAGATAAAGAATAAATTATATATTAATGTTTATAATTTTAAAAAATTACTGTTTTCAATTGTGGTTTCTCTAAATACTCACTTGTGAATTTCTACTGCAGGAAAACATATCGAAATTATCAGAACTTAACACTTTTAAAACTATAAAACGTCAATTTCTTCTACATGATTGATCAGATAAACGTTTCAGGAATACTGTTGTGAATCGGGCATTGCCGTTGGTGCATGGAGGGTCATTTGCTATTACGCTTACAGTCCCATTTAATAATCGTTGCTGAACCGCGGCTGCCTCCCACATGTGGTGCCATAGAAGATTTTCTTATACTTTGTCTAAGTTTGTGATTCTAGAGAGAAAATAGCTTACAGAGTTTCAAGTGCCCAGTCATTTATAAAGTGGCAGGTCCAATTCACATCGGTACCCTTTCAGACTAGTATGATCAAGAATAAAAGAGATTTTCTTATTTTACTAGCTAAAAATTGAATAATTTCAGTTATCACTTTCAGATTTATTACTGCTAAGACAATAAAGAAAATTGTGAGAATTTTCCCCTTTTCCAGAGGAAAAACTAATTAAGATACCTTTCACTGAATGTTAATCAAAAAGAAGTTTAATAAAGGTTACCGTTGTGATTTGATCTTACCGCTCTTTAAATGGTTCTCACTTGAAAATAAACCTACAGTCCCTTAAAACTTCACATTTAATAGAACAAGGAAATTTCAAATCTCGAAATGATTAATATCCCGCTAAAGGATCATCTTCCTTAATGTCTTCTTCTTCCCTCTCAGGTTCATATTTCACAAGAACAGGTTCAGGTTCATATCTCACAAGAACAGGTTCAGGTTCATATTTCACAAGAACAGGTTCAGGTTCAGGTTCATATCTCACAAGAACAGGTTCAGGTTCATGTGTCACAAAAACAGGTTCAGGTTCATATTTCACAAGAACAGGTTCAGGTTCATATTTTACAAGCAAGGGTTCAGTCACAAAAGAAGGTTCAGAATCAAAATTCACAAGAACAGGTTGAGTCGCAAGATCAGGTTCAGGTTCATATTTTACAAGAACAGGTTCAGGTTCAGGTTCAGGTTCATATTTCACAAGCAAAGGTTCAGTAACAAGAGTAGGTTCAGGATCAAAATTCACAAGAACAGGTTCAGTGGCAAGATCAGGATCAGGTTTAATGTTTCCAATATCTGTTTGGGAATCCAATGCAGGGTAACACACAACATGAGTAACAATGGTTTCAAGATCATATTCAACCATCTCTTCAGTCAAGTTAGAATTAGTAATCTCATTCACTGCTGTCGTGACTTTATGAGTCTTCATGTGTTCTAACAAACTAAATATTTGCGTTGTTTTAAAATCACAATCAGGGCAGATCTTGTGTCGAGCATTATGCCTTGAAAAATTAAATCTACTAGCTGTTGAATATTCACAATCATAACAAAAATATCCTTTATGTCCTTTATGTGTCTTTCTCGCATGATTTTTTACTATACTAGGACTAGTAGCAAAATAGTCACAGTGGTTGCAATGAAACTTTCTTTTTCCATGTTTACTCACTTTGTGAATTCTTAAATATGTTAAGTGAGTTGCAGAAAAATCACATTCATCACATGGAAAACTGAATACTTCATGATACTCCTGTTTATGTTCTTTTAACGTGACTGAAGATATTGCAGAATACTCACAAAGATTGCAGTTAAATATCACTCCCTCATGTCTACTCTGTTTATGACTATCTAAGCTTGATCGATCTCTAATGTCACAGAAATATCCTTTACCCGGGTGTTTATTCAAATTGTGCGACTTCAAGTTAGACTTCTTCCTTGTTGAGTATTCACACAGATTGCAATTGTAAATTTCGGACTCGCTTTGCTCGCGCTTAACTCCCACCGTCTTGTTTTGTTTTATCAGACTTGCGTTTTCGACGGTTTCACCTGAAAAAGACGACATTTTATTAACTAAAATTTTTAGTGGGACACCCAGTAACTACATTCTTTTTGCTCTTCAAGAAAAGGCATGGGATGTAAATTTTTCAGAATTAGCCACCACCCAGGTGAGGGCATGACATTTGATGATTAGGGGGGGGGAGGGGGGAATGAGTATTCGAGAAAGTTTACACCCCTGGAGACTGCTTGTAACTTTTATCTTGATCAATTTTTACCTAGAATTGATGCGTTGCAATTTGTGAAATTCTCTAGGTCCGGATTAAAGGATGGCACTGCGCTTTTTCTAAGCCGTGATGTGTGGTACTGAGATAAAGGTTTCTAATTTGTTTCCGGATTTATTAATGGTTCCGTAAATTGATTAATGGTTCCGAAAATTGATTAATAATTCCGTAAATTGATTAATAGTTCCATAAATTGATTAATGGTTCCGTTAAAGCCTGAAGGAATCTTCCCTAAAACTGTAAAGACTTTAAAATTTTCGAACATTTTTAGAGATTATGGTCGGGACCCATCTTAACCATGTAAAATCACTCTACTCTATAAAATTACACACAAGCACATGCGACTGCTAAATAATTAAACAGAACCACTTTTCGGCTCAATTCCATGGTTTCGTAAACTTTTTAAAGCATGTCATACCTAGCTAGTTCTAGATTTACTATAGTATATTGGAAAAGGTTTTGCCAATAATCTCCGAAAAATTTTAGAGTTTTTCGAGTTTCAGGAAAGGTTCCGTGAGAAAAATCAGTCTCGGAAATGGTGTCAGGTAACAACTTCCCAATTGGCAACTTCCCAAATGTGTAATTTTCCAAGCGAAGACTTCCCAACGGTTAGGTTAGACCTTATAATGCGCCGCAGACTCCGATAAGGGCCTCGTACTGCGGTTAGGATGCGCTCGGGGCCGTGCACTGCGGCTAGAACATGCTAGGGACTGAGCGCAGGAGAAAGAACGTGGGAAGTTGCCGCTTGTGGAATCGAAAATCTGGGAAGTTGCCACTTGGGAAAATGCAAATTTGGGAAATTACCATTGGGAAAAGATTGGAAAATGGAAACCCTGCCTGAGATTTGGAGAAATGCATCATGCACATGAAGCTGTTATTCTTGATTACATAATCAGGACGATCGACAACTTTCTTCCAAACTTCGAATAGATTGGGATCTTTAGGAAACAGGTGGAACTTCATCCCCTCCTTACTGTTGTTGTTAGAACAATTTTTTACACAACAACTCTTTGTAAAAGTTTTTGAATGGAACATTTTTTCTAAAAATAGGTGTAATTAAAAACTTAGTATTTGTTTAAAGGGATTGTAATCCTTCTTTAAAACAAACATTTTACACCTCAGTTGTCGGCGTTCTTATCATTACAATTAAAATGACTTCTCTTTTTATGTTTTGGTTTCCAACAAGTTTTTTTTTCAAATTACAAGTTAATTGACAGCTTTTCTTTGTTTCTGTTTTTATGTGTATCCAATCCATGCTGTTAAAAGCTTGGTAAAAATCAAAATTTTAAGTTATAATCGCAGTATTGATATATATCAAAACGACTTTTTTGAGAAACATATACATTCTCGAACTCAAGAACACATTTGAGCGGTGGGATAACCTTAGGTGTGATCCGGAAAAATTAGGGTATTATGTGATATTTTGAAGTAGGAGAACAATCCTTTTAATGACTCATCATAACCAAAAAAATCTAATAAATAAAAAATTGTACATTACAGAAGATCGTATTCTTGCAAAAAAAAAATAAGAATAATGAATTCTCTTGAAATAAAAAAAGATGAGTGAAGTGCTTAACCTTTCATTTGAATGTTTAAATGCTTCGCAAAAGTTTGAGTCGAAAGTTTGAACCCGGTGAGGCGATGAGGGGGTGAGGTGACTTCCGAAAAAGAAGCAAAGAAATGTAATTGGAATTAATCGTGTAGATCATACAAAGCCTTTCAAGGGTATTGCTGTAAAACAAGTAAATTGGTGACTACAATCTATGCATGAAGAGTCATTAAATATTACGCTTAAAATCTCTTTAAATCCACGAGAATCTTCAGATCACGATTTTCTAAAATTGTGATTTACAATCCCTTTTAATTACCTGCATATAATCTACATCTAGAAGAAGCTGTACAAGGAATATTTAAATATCGCTTTACACTCTTTGCACACACCGATAACTATGAGGTATCTTGTACGGGATCATTCTTTCTGAAAAATATACTCTACATAATCTTAAAAAGTAAACAAATAAACTCTACATAATCTTAAAAAGTAAACAAATAAACTCTTCATAATCTTAAAAAGTAAAAAAGTTTTTTCATTTGTTTTTTTCTATGACTTCACCAGTGCACAATCAAAAAATGAAATCTGCGGTTGGCTCAATTCCAATAATGAGTATGTCTAAGATGTTCAATGTTCCCGGCTTCCATCCAATCTTACAGCTTAGCTGGGTTTGGTCCGGCCCATTCCAATCCATAGATCGAGGCGATCATATCAAACCTAAACATCGATCAAAAGTTCGATCAATCAATAATTTATCTATAATCAATTATTGAATTCATTTAAAATATAATAAATAATGGTTTTCATAATTGTTTATTGTTTTAAGAGAGTCTCCAAAAATGGAGCTGTTTTGGGCGGACCGCCTGGGTTTCAGAGAGTCTCCAGAAACGGAGGTGTCTTGGGCAGATCGCCTAGTATAAGTCATCTCCCTAGGGTGACACGGTTCGGTCAGCCCATGGATACGTTTCGGCGGCTAGGAGCGCCGACCCCTATTTCATTAAATGATGGGTTGTCCTTTAATAATAATAATAATCAACTCAAAACTTCTGATAAAGGACTTAAATAACAATATGATCAATCCCGCTAGCATCAATTTTTCATCAATCACTCAATCAATCAATAAAAATAATTATTTATCAATTCATAACATAATATATTACTAATTTAAATAACCATTTTAGTTAAGTAGACATTACTCAAATTATATAAAATATCAACAATCAATTGAAGATTAAGAATTTAAAGGTTTAAGTTTAAAAAAAGTTGTGAACCTGTCCGATCCCCAGAACATCTCCTCTTTGTCTCTAAAAAAAATTAAATTATAAAAATCAAATTTAAAATAATGGTTTATACTGAAAAATAAATAAGTATATATCTGGATAAATATGAGGAATTACTATAATCATTAAGTGCCCGGGGTTGACCGTTGAATCTTAAAAATCTAAAATTGTTTTAATAAATAGAAAACGACTTCTTCCGCCGAAACTTTCCCGTGTTTACCCGTTGGGAGAAACGAAAATAAAGAAAACAAAATATGAAAAAAAAATTTGTTCTAACGGAATATTTACTACTAGCTTGGGAACCCAGCCATGCTTGGAAACTATAAAAGTCAACTTGCTTAATTTAGAATTTTTAGAACAAGCTGAGAACATTCCCGTGGTTCTAACAAGTTCCCCAATAAAAATATGAGGCAAATCGGTCCATGGGTTCATGAGTTGTATCGTACATACAAACAAACAAACATACAGAGAATACTACTTTATATATATATAAATAGATGACAAAATCTTTAAAATAATTACCCTTGCATAAAGAACAAAGTGGGAGACCCAAAAGCCCCTCTTTCCACAGCTTCCTCGGTTATATCCTGAATAATAATAACAATAATAAAAATAATAGTAATATTTAACTCGAATGCCACGGCTGACTAGGCTTATACGGTGGTAGGCGATTGTATCAATATGATGGAAGACGACTTTTTATTTAAATTTAAAGCTTTTTTCGAATTACAAGTTTACAAGTTATTAAAGAGAAGCTTTTTAAATTGACAGGTTCTCTTTGTTTCCATGTTTATGTGTATCCATGTTGTTCAAACGCTTGATATAAATCAAACTTGAAATCTAAAGTCGTCTTCATTATAATGATATAACCGCCTACCACCGTATTATTATACATAATTAGGTTTAATCCTGCCGTTTACCTGCGCTTGGTTTAAAAAATGATTTTTGCTTCAGTGCATGGTGTTGCAGTAGAATTTCAAAAAAATTTCAAAAAATTTCTTATTTCCCCCCGGTCAGTTATCATGGAGTTTTCTCAAAAAAAAGTTGCCAATTTGGTACAGCCGTTTGGCAAGCTATATGGAACAACTATATATGAGCAAAGAGCTTTATTATATAAAGAATAATAATAATGATGAAAATGATAATTAAATTAGCAATATTAAAAAACAACAACATACAACAAAACTTAATATAAATCAAAAATCAATATTAAAAAACAACAACAACATACAACCAAACTTAATATAAATCAAAAATCAATAAGTCAAAATAATATTAAAAATATTCCATAATCTAACCTTTAAAGTTTGCTTTACGACCGGACTTTTTTGCTTCTCAAAACAGGTTTTTATCTGATCAGCACTAAATCAAACAAATCATGAAAATTTAACAAATCTTCACACTGAAAAATATCTAAAAAATTAGGTTAAAAATAAAATAATATAGACCTTTAAAATGCACAGTGTACAGTTTAGTTTACTTGCTTTTAGGAACCATTTTTTTATCCGGATCCGGATCCTAAGCACTGCTAGCTGCACTGTACAAATTACAATTGTTCATGGGAAATTTCAAATGACCCTCCATTTAAAGAGTAGCATGTCAATTCACAATGTTACCCTTAAGAGCTTCGAAAGAATGAATTAAATATAATTTATTGACTTTAAAAAATTGATTACATCTAATTATGGTTTCTTGCAGATTTCTGCTCGAATTTAAAACTTTAAAAATACATCGATATTTTCCATATTATTGCATGATCAGAGTTTACAGAGTTCAGTTGTGAATTTGACATGACCCTCTCTAAATTCCCATAAAGAAGACGAATAGCATTTAAATAACGAGGACGAATGCCATCGGACGAAGACGAATATTTTCGACCAAGAGGACGAACCTGAGTCCTGCCCTGGTAGCGATGATGTTGAGGTCCTCCTGTGTATGTGAGGACAGGTCCTCTGGACCCCAGGACCTGGTCCATATCTCACGGCAGATATTCTCTAATAATTCAGGGTATTCCTTAACATTGTACAACAATTAGTATTCCTTAACATTGTACAACAATTAGTATTCTTCAACATTGTACAACAATTAGTATTCTTTAACATTGTACAACAGTAAGTATTCCTAAACATTGTACAACAATTAGTATTCTTTAACATTGTACAACAATTAGTATTCCTTAACATTGTACAACAATTAGTATTCCTTAACATTGTACAACAATTAGTATTCCTTAACATTGTACACAAATTAGTATTCTTTGACATTGTACAACAATTAGTATTCTTTAACATTGTACAACAATTAGTATTCTTTAACATTGTACAACAATTATTATTCCTTAACATTGTACAACAATTATTATTCCTTAACATTGTATTTCATAATATTGTACAACAATTAATATTGCTATACATTGTACAACAATTTGTATAAATCAAAGAGTATACATCTGTTGTACCGATGCTGTATACCTGTTGTACAAGCTGTAAATTGGTATATCCGTTGTACAGCTGTATACCTGTTGCACATGTTCTAGATTTGTATAAATTTTATGCATGTTTTTCAGTTGTATACCTGTTGTACAATGTACATTGTACAATGTATACCGGTTGTAAATGTTGTAATTTTGTTGTACAGCTGTATATCTTCTGTACATGCTGTACACGTGCCTATCTATTGTACTGCTATGTAAATGTATACCTGTTGTACTGCTGTTACAAACCGTTGCTGAGACAGAGAACCAATAATTCCTGAAAAAGGTTTAATATCAATTTTGTACTTTTTCACGTTACCTGGACAAATCAAAAATATTTTCAAATGTTTTCTTTTACAATTTTAAGAATAATAATTAAAGTGCTGTGGCTAAAACTTTTTGAGAAAAATCTTAACATTTTCAGGAAAAAATCGTTCAATCCGTTCTTTCATGAAAAAAAATCCGTACAATCCGTACATTTTTTTCATAAAAAAATCCGTACAAAAAAAAATAAAAATCTAAAAATAAAATTGGCATTTAAAAAAAAAATAACAGATAGCTATGATATCGACATATTTTATGCTAACTTTGTTCAGTCGATCAATCGGTACAATCCACAACTCGCGTTTTCATCAAAAGTATTTGATGTAAATCTAGTCAAAAAAAATTACAAAGTAACAAAAAAAATTACGAGACATAGAAAGAAAAAATTTACACCTGGAAATAACTGAAATTTTGAGCATTTCAATGACACCTTGATTGTGAAACTTAAACGAAAATTTTTCCCTCCGTACCAAATACCCCACTGCAATTGTAAGACACCGTGTAATTCCGTAACATATTCTCGAATGAACACTTTTGGAGCAAATTCTCGAAAAGATGAAAGAATGAATTTTGATTGTCAATTGAAACAACAATCAACCTAATATGATTCGGTATGGGATAACAAGTTGAACTTCATTTGGGCGACTTTTTTTAGAAAATTTTAATGCAAAAATTTGCTTTTTATTTAGTCCTGATTTCAGAAAACTATAAGAACGCCCCCCCCCCCCCTTCCCACTGATCATGAATTCAATTTTCTTAACAAATATAGTTTTTCAGGGGCGTTATTTTATTTGCTGGATTAGTGAAATATTGGTTTTTAAGGGAAACTAAATAATCTTTTTGTTAAAATTATCAAAAAGGATGAAAAAACATGCCTTTAAATGTCCAATATTTCATTTTTTTCAAAACCGTTGAAAAGATTTACAAAATTTTCCAAAATTTGGAATCCTCAAAACCCATCCGTTTCCTGATTGAGAGGGGAACAATGGGGGAGGGGTCTGGGGGGTTATCTAAATCCCACGAGTTGATTTTTACTTATTAAAGAGACTTCCGACGTAATTTCTTGGGACTATCCTTTAAAGAAACCTCATGACCGATTCACAACGGTACTCTTTAAACCCCAATGGAGCAAAAAAAATTAAGAAATATCCTAGTTGCTTTATCTGAAATTTAATGATTTCCAATTATGGTTTCCCTAAAACAACAACAATGACGGATTTCGGTAACAGAGCTAACACGTGAAAATTAGATACTTCAATATTTTTTAAGGTAAGGAAACGACACAATCTGTCCCATTTTTGTTCAAATAAAGATTTTTCATTATTAAAGTGGAATTCTGACAATGAATATCCTCAGAATTTTCAAATCCTGCTTAGTACAGTGAATTAGTTTTTTCTCCAACCTGTATTGAACGGTGAATTTATGTTTGAACCTGAACCTTTAATCAGTTAAGTCAGACATACCTGGCAAAACTGAAAACTGCAGATCAGCTATAAAAGAAGATACAAGTCAGGGAAAAAACTTACTGCTCTTTTTTAAATTTTGTTAAAAATTTTGAATTTAAAAATAAATTGTAAAAAAAAGATTTAAATAGTACAATTGTGACTCAGGCCTGCAATTTCTAGAATGAGGCAGTCACTGAAAATTAGGTCTACAGTCCCTCTAGTTCAACATCTTTATAAGTTTCAGCTTATTTACCAATATGAGAAATAGGATCACTTTTCATCTTCAGCGGAATCTCAAAATACCTGAAAATCATCAAAAAAAAGTTCTAAAAATGTTTACGAAAATGTGCAACAAAAAAAAGACTTTTGCTTTGAAAAAAAATTAACTTTTGACTTAATGTGAAATTTTTCTAAATGGTCTATAAAGCTTCGGCAAAAAAAAAAAAATTTCGTTAGAACAAAAATTAGATTTTATCAATCAATTCTGAGAAAAATTCATTAGTGCCCATAGTGGGTGTAGAGATCAAGCGATTATGGGAATCCCACACAAAAGTTTCCAGCTCTGGATCCAAATCCTATTCTGCATCAGTATCTGTTTCTTTACACGATCCAAATCAAAATGAAAAGGATCCTAAGAATTCAGACAGGATTTAATGAATTTAAGTTAGGACAAGAGACACTTCAACCACGTCTTTTGAACCAGGACTTTAGGACCTAACTCAAATTCATTTTAGTGACTAGAGACGGTTAAACCACATATTTTGAATAGGAGAAATTCTGTCCCAGAACTGTTGAGTATTACCTTCCAGTTCTTGTCTCTAGATCCTTGAAGGTATAACTTGCTTTATTAGGACACCCCGTCATGCTTTCGATGTAACTGTTTCCTAAAATAAAAAAACAGGGATATATATTTTTTCTTGAAAAATCATAAAAATCTTCTTTTTTGTCAAAAGTGTGGAAAATCATTTCCCAGTAAGGTGGAAGGGGCCTTTAATTCTCGAAAAAATATACCCCTTGATAATCAAAGGCAATTTTTTTATTTTTTTTGATACATATCTTTCCAAAAATCATATATTTTCCCCAGTTCAGCGAAAAAAACTTTTTTATACACTACATCTGGGGAAAATATAAATTCGAAGGGGGGGAATATTTATCGTGAAAATATACACCCCTGCAGTCCCTTAATTATCCACCTGCTGCTACAGTCAGTCCTCCCATAAAAACCGGTTTCCATGTAATGTCTAGATTCCATCTAAAAACAAAAATTTTAACAAAGAACTGTCCTCGAAATGTTTAGTGAACGAACCCAAAATGTGTTTAATTCTCATATATTCTCTGTCACTAAAGCAATAAATGCGCAAGTCACTTTTGCAAAGAAACCACAAATAAAAATGATATTTTTTGAAAAGAAATCATGGATATCTATTATCTAATTCATACTTAATCAGACAACCTGTATAGGGTCCCTTTGTGAAATAGACTTGCCTCTAGTATTCATAAAGGTCACTTTAAATTGCGGCTTCAGTCCCATTAGAGAGAGAAAATTTACAAAACAGCATGCAAAATACAAAAATGGGGTTCCTGCCGGGAAAGGGATGGTTATTACGTAAAACTTGATGATATACCTACTCTTGTATCTGCTAATCACTTCAAAGGCCGGCCAACTGTATGGGGATATTGTGTCAAAATATATATCAAGTTTTAGCTTTGCAACCTGCCTATTTCCTGCTAAGTCACGATTTAACAAAAAAAAAAGGTACCGTTTGGTCAAGAACGAGCATTTAAATAAATTGCATAAATGCCATGGGTCTGTCTTAGTGAACGATTTCGGACCCCCCCCCCCCCCCCCCNTTATATGTTTTTTAACAATTTTATTTGAAATTTTTGTTTGTTTATTTTTCATTTTAACTATTTTTTTTCATTTAAAACTATATTTTAGTTCATTTCAATTTTTCTTTTCATTTGAACTATTTTCATGTTCATTTGAACTATTTTTTTTTTCATTTGAACTATTTCATTTGAACTATTTTTATGTTCATTTGAACTATTTTTATGTTCATTTAAACTATTTTTATGTTCATTTGAACTATTTATTTGTTAATTTAAACTATTTTTATGTTTATTTGAAACATTTCTGTGTAATGCGGTTATTTAATTAATTGTCATGAACTAACTTTATGGGAATTATAAAAAAAATTTTAAAACTGAATTGGGGTAGAATAATAGTTCAAATGAGCAGGCAAATGTGTTGATTTAAACTACAGGATATGGCGTCATGTCTGCAGTAGTTCAAACGAGCAATAGTTCAAACGTACCATAGTTCAAACGGCAGTAGTTTAAATGAGAATCCACCAACCAGTTGCCATATGCATGCCTCCCTTCGATATTATTCTCTCCGTATATTGTGGTATAAATATGCATATATACTTATAAATGAGAATTCAATTTGAAAATTCAGATATTTGTGTAATACGTCCCTCCCTCAAGTCTCTTCTGAATAATTATAGCATATAGCAGTACACATCCCGCAATGCACCTTAAGTTTGAAGTTCCAAATTCTACCGTTAGGTGTCTCTAGTTACAAACTTTCAGCATGAACATCTATCTGTAATCTTTTTATTTTCGTTATGATACAATTAAATATCGCTGAATTTTATGTTTTAAAACTAAAACAACGTAAATATTAGAGAATTTATAAAATATCAATTTCATGCCCGTCATTATCTAATATTTAAAGAAAATAATTTGTCACTGCATACAGTGGAAGTTACACTCCTATTGGCTTCGCATCCATCTATCAGATGCATCTTAAAATTTCTTTGGAATGATCTGCCCGTCCGGGCAGATCAATTATTGTTTAATCCTTAGCACAACGCTATTTTTACTAAATTCTTAAATGTATGACAAACATAATTTAAATATATTTTATAATCAATGAAATTCGATGACGACTTGAATGATCATTTTGAAAATTCAGATATTTTTCATAATATCCACCACTCAAATCTCTTTTGAATAATATTCATATAGCCGTACACATCCCGAAATTTGCACCTAAAGTTTGAAGTTCCAAATTCTACCGTTAGGTGTCTCTAGTTACAAACTTTCAGCATGAACATCTATCTGTAATCTTTTTATTTTCGTAATGATAAAATTAAATATCGCTGAATTTTATGTTTTAAAACTAAAACAGCGTAAATATTAGAGAATTTATAAAATATTAATTTTTTACCTATCTATATCTAATATTTTTAGAATAACATTGTGTCACTGTACAATTATAATTACGACTTCACGACCACGTGAATAGATAGAATAAGTATTATTTGAAAGATCGGCCCGTTAGGGCAGATCTATTGTTGTAATGCAACCTTAGTATAATTCTTTGCGTACATATTTTAAATATTTTTCATTATTATAAACGTACATTCGATGAGGGCTTGAATCATTTTGAAAATTCAGATTTTTTTCATAATATCCCCCTCCCTCCAATCAGGGGCGTACGAGGGGGGNGGGGGGGTTCTTTTAATATTACATCTTCCTCAGGCAATCTACATTCTACATTGCATTGCATTGCACTCACCCAAACTAAAAGATTAAGAAAAAAACTAAAATATATTCTGATTCACAACCATGCCCTTCAAAGCTTTTTCTGATCAAGTATGGCATTAAAAATACATGTTTCCCATTTTGAAAACTGAATATTTTTATTTGTGGTTTCTCTATAAAAGTGACTCGCGCATGTCTTGCTTCAGTATCGATGGAGAAATGAAGGTTTCAAAGGTACATCGGACCTGCCACTCTATAAATGGAGGGTCACTTGAAATTACGCATGTATTCTATATAAGTATAATTACATCGTATAAAAAGTTATTCATTTATTCATTTATTTAATTATTCATTTATTCAATTATTCATTTATTGTTGTATTCCGGACTGAACCAGAAAAGGGCGAACAGTCCCTTAGATACAATGAGAGATCGGAGAGACCAGATTGATTCAGTACAACCCGAGCCGCTGCAGTAAACACAAGTTTCCTGCATACAGCCGCTCTGGGTCCTGTGCTACATACAGCGTACAGGATATTTATATATTTACAGTGAGTTTCCATGAAGATGAGCAGTGAAGATTAGATGATGATGAATCCCGCATACCGAGTGACACCTGATAATGGATATGATAAAGATACAACTGAGGATGCAGCCAAAGATGCAGCTAAAGATGCAGCTGAAAATGCAGCTGAAGATGCAGCTGAAGATGCAGCTAAAGAGGCAGCCAAAGATGTAGCTGAAGAGGATAAGGATGCAGCGGAAGATGAGAGTGTCCCAAGCTTGGAGACTGACCTCTCATCATATGACGACCAGACCAACATTCTTGGGACAGGAGGAAGGAGTTCTACCTTGAGAGATCATGTGGATCATGAGGATCAAGATTGTCCTCAGCCCTTTGATGAACGGGCACTTACTCCACCTTATCTCCTAGTATCTGGGATCCTCCTGGACGCCATGGAGCCCAGTTACATGAGTTCCTCCATTCAACCAGGAAGAAGATATTGGACCAGTTGTTCGTGCAGGTTCTGAGGATGAAGAGATATCTGGAGGAACAAGGGAGGTTAAACTTGATCCCTGAGTTATGAGGCATTATTAGAGGGTTTATCCCTCCTTTAAGATGATGGGATCCAAGCTTGATAGGATTGCAGAGATCTCAAGAGATCCTGCTCATGATACTAAATAAGATCATTCTTATTCATTTGATAAGGTCCCCAGGGATCATGATCATGATCTAATAAATAAAGATCATGGCCAATACTCATTTGACTTTATATTAAAAGTATGTTTATGTGATTAAAAATATCTAATAAATACAAATGTACTAGATTATTGTTTTATTTATTGGGATGGAACAAGGTTACAAAGATATGGGAAATATCGGGTATCAGACCACTCTAGGACTGGAAGATATGACCTTGTCTATTATTTTATATATACATTGACGGATCAACCAAACATAATGAGTTGGTCCCGGAAAGATCAGTATCTGTTACCTGAGCTAGATTGTAGTATTCTTCGGATACTGCTACATGATGCTAAATAGGGTCATTATTATTCCTTTGATCGTGATCATGGTCTTAATAAATAAGGATCATGATCGATTGCTAATATGTTTTGTAACTGTAATAATACGTCAGTATGTCTCATTTATGTAATAAGTAAATAAATGTTATGTACGATGCTTAACTAATTTATCAAAGTTATGAGTTAGAGATCTACTGTAAAAGTTTTATTTGTCAGAAATTACGACATTATTCATTTATTCATTTATTCATTTATTCATTTATTCATTTATTCATTTATTCATTTATTCATTTATTCATTTATTCATTTATTCATTTATTCATTTATTCATTTATTCATTTATTCATTTATTCATTTATTCATTTATTCATTTATTCATTTATTCATTTATTCATTTATTCATTTATTCATTTATTCATTTATTCATTTATTCATTTGTTTATTTCATCAGGACATTTTTTCGAAATTATAAACATTTGTTCAACATTATGAACATTTCGTTCAACCTTAGGAACTTAATATGATCGACATTATGAACAATTTGTCTGACACTATGAACATTTTGTTTAACATTATGAACATTTTGTTCAACATTATGAACATTTTGTTCAACATTTAGAACAATTTGTTCAACATTCTAAATACTTTGTTTAACATTTTAAACTTTTTGTTCAACATTATGAACAATTTTTTCAAAATTAAGAACATATTTTGTTCAACATAATGAACACATTACTCAAATATTAGGTCTTTCGGATTTATCAAATTGTACAAATCCGATCATTGTTTTTTATTACATGAACAATTATTAATTAATTCACATTGAGAACTAAATCTTACAATTGTACATCTAAGACATAAAATACAAAAACAAAAACTTGGCTTGATTTGTAGGTTATATGTACTATGTAGCTCTGTACGCAGAGAAAAATATATGCATTGTCAGATTTAGAGATAGAGCTTTCAAATATCAATGAACTTTAACACAATCATGATAAACAGGTTTGCTAATTTGGTTATGAAATGCTCCTGTTGGGTTTCAACTTGACACCTTGGTTTAAATCCGTTTTAAAATACTCGGGTAAAATCTACGGTTAAAAAACGAATTTATCTCTGCTTTTAAACTTAAAAAGAAGATTTTAAACCGTCTAAAACCTTATCTACATCTACTCAAAACACTCTGTAAAACCGTTTTAAAAACGTTTTCAGTACACGGGTGGGTTCTGGTTTTAAAATAATCGACTTTTACCCTGATTTAACTCCGCAATTTGTGTTAGTTGATGTACCATTTAAGGTTACACAAAACCTGAAAATCTAAGAAGAATAACAATAAGAAATATGATAAGGATTATATTGGACTATCAGGACTTTTGAAGACTATAAGAGAAAAACAGGGGTAAGCCCTTACTGGCTGTTACGCGAGCCATGCTGTGTGTATAAAGTCTGCTTATCGCCCCTGTGTATTTCTGAGTTCTCCCTGAAGATCTGTACGGAATGTATTGTGAAAGAACTAGTTTTAGGAACTGTTTACAGACTGACTACGCAGGCGCAAGATTTCTCGCGGAGTAATGAATAGTTTATATCAGTAAATGTTTATTCGTCTTGCAAGTTTTAACCGTGTCCAGAATTCTGGGATCACTGTAAGCTAGAAAA